TCAGTACTTTCAAGTTGACATAAAATATAACTATTCCTAAATTTTTATTAAACTGTCTCCATTAGTTTGTTTTAAAAATAATTTTTAAAATGTGGTCACGGTCATATAGACCTCACCTCTGTTGTTTACGTTACATTTTTCTGGCTTGAGGGGAAGACGGCTTTATTACTACTTGAGTGTCAAAATGTACAAGAATTTAATATATAATATTTTGGAATATATTCATACTATGAAGAAAATAAGAGAAATACCAGGTGGATTTTTTCCAAATAAAATGAAAAGTGAAGGATCTTCTCTTTATGCATTCACAGATAGAATGACTCTCGTTTCGTATGTGCCTCAAAAATTAAAAAGTGTTATTCTCATTTCCTCAATGCATCATTCGAAATCAGAAGACCTTGAAATTGAGAAACCAGAAATACAGTACAAAGTCAGAAATCCGGAATCGTCGGGACTTCGTCGATTCTAGGTTTGAGTTTTTTACGGTTATTAGATCATCAGTTTAAATCTAGTAAGATAGTATTTTCTTGATCTAGAGCCATACTACAGATTTCACCATTCATTAATTTATTGATGATTGAGAAGAATTTTCATCACAATGAAAAACTTCTTTTATATCATCTTCATTTATTACCGTTTCTCCACAATTGTTTACAAAATCCGTTAATTGGAAAATTTCACCTTTTTTTTTTTTTTTTTCCATATCCAAAAATCTTTAAAATTAGTGGCTATCATCATCAAATTTAGCTATCCTTCACTGTACATATTTGGCTATGCATCATGAGCTTGGCGACTAACGACAAGTTGTTCCGTTAAATTTTATTTTGCTTCTATTGTGCACCGAGACAATTAAGCCTGAATTAATTAGTTTAGTTATTTATTATATTTATATCTATTTCTTGCACATGCATAAGGCTTATCAGAGTTCTGAATAAATAAATTCCCATCATGTATTTAAGCCCTATTGAGGGCCAGGGCTAGATATCATGCCGCCTGATTTAGTCTCTGTGGGTCCTAAATTCTGTGATTGAATGTGGCCATACGAGCCCTAGCACTGGTTCTAGGTTTATATGAATAACAAATGATTTATTCTTAAGGGGTTACATGGGTTTCATCCGAGTAAAAACGGCATATTTTTTGAACCCGTGAAACCCATGTAACCCCTTAATTCAAATAGCCCTAAATGTAATCTTTGGGTCTATGAATATCATCAACAAAATTTATTTTTAGCATATGGAAAAAAATTTTTGGTAAATTTTTCCTCAACAACATTTTTTAGTGCATTTAACTTAAATCTGTAATCATCGCCAAGCGTAAACATAAAAGGTTACGATACTTCTTTATTATTTAATCACTAACATAAAAAAAATTGTTTAGGCATCGCTACATGAGTCATTACACAAGTTGTCATGTTTTGAAAAACATGGGGCGATGAAAGGAAAGTATAATAAATAATGATTCACCAGGTTGGCATCAGATCAACGATGTATCTACGTGGAAAGTTTCGGTTTGAGATGTGTGCCAAGCAGATACATAGCAACAGAGCCAAATTACTGATTGTTCTTTTTTTCATTTATGCTATGAAAATGCAAATTAATTAATTCTAAAACAATTATTTATGCTAAAATGATTGTTTCTTCAATAACAAGGTATTTTATTTAGTGTCGAGGCGAAATTAAGAATCAGGACTCTCCAGATGTTTTATTATGCGCGGAAGGGGGAATTAAATGCTCATGTGTAAAGCCTCCGAGAACAACGTTGTTGGTGGTTTTGATGTCCTGATTTTAGATCATTCTAGATAATGGACGTCTGGATTTCAGACTTTGTTCTGTAATAACATTTTACAATGTGACTAAAGGAGGTGTAGATGCATTGGATGAAAAATGTTCTAAAATATCTACAAGCTGAAGAACAAGGCAGTGGCTAATGGCCATATTCTTTAGGTTACTTGATGTAAATGGGATTAATGCACATGTAATACATCAATCATTAAGAGATAGTGCGAAATTGGGAAAAACTGATTTTTTGATGGAGTTATCATCAGAATTAGGGAAACCACATATGGAACGGAGGTTTTAAAAGCCAACTGTTAACCGAGAAATAAAAATGTGCATTCAGAGAGTGCTAGGAATTTCCAGCGGAATCTATTCTAGCTTAGATGTAACTGATACCCCTAAAAAGCGTAAAACACAGCGTTTTTGTCCCCCCTAGACTGAGAAGGAAAACTACCTATCTATGTTTCAGCTTCAAGAATCCGATATGTAATGAATGTGCCAAGAGAATTTCCAAAAATTGTGTTGAAAATGCTTAAAATAATGTGCCGCAGTTTTTAATATTCTTTATATATTATACTTTTTTTTGTATTAATATATTTAATCCAGATTCTGTAGATGGAAAATTTCTTAAATAATTTAGTTTGTATGCATTTGTAAGTAGTGTTTATTTTATTTATTTGATTGTTTCGTACTTTTTTGTATGTGATTTAAAGATTAATTTTTAATGCATTAATTTTAGTCTTAAAAAGAAGTAATTAATTCAATAGAACAAGCAAAGTGTATTAATACTTATATAATAACAATAGTACATTATTTTAAAATTTTATATTTTAAAATGCATAGAGTGCTGTCTGAGAGACCCCTCCTCTATGTTTATGTAACAGAAAATGAACGTCTGTACTTAAGGGTTAATTAAAAAAAAAAAAAAAAAAAAAAAAAAAAAAAGAGAAGAGAGATATCGATAAATATATATCAAGTTCAATTAGCACTGAGGAGCTAAAATTTTTAAAGCTAATTTTTTAAAAAAACTACTTGTGAGATTTTTACAAAACTTGGTAGTTTGGCATAATTTGAGTCGTAGAATCGAAATATGGACAAAAATTGGCGGGTCATTTCAGAAAAAGTCTGATTTTTGTAAAAATTAAATAAAAATTATCCTTCAACATTTATTTCTCTATTTAAGAACAAACACATTAACAGTGTAGAATTTCATTTTTATGTTTGGTAATCCTACATCTTATGTATCTAAATGGTATAATTGTTGAATAGTTGCTTATATTTAAAAATCACTAAGATTTTTTTCATGAATTTTATATCCTACAGTGTAGGACTGGATATGATACTAAAGTGAAAACAAATGCATTGCAGTAAATCAATTTTTGATTTGATTAGCTGAGGTGTTTTTCCTCCCCCTCTCAAAAAACATTATTATTGATGATAAAATTAAATCAGTCTGCATGTTTTGGTTTTAAACACCTACTAGCTAGAGAACCACACTTTTGTTTTCTGCTCTCAAATGGTTGAGGGCAGCAATTTTCCATCTTATCTAGCCATGTACACGAATCCCAAAGACAAATGTTTGTTTTAAGGGAAATGTTGCGCATACTGGTTTATTTTTGTTGGTGTAGCAGGGAAGAGAAAGAATTAGGTTTCAATTAATTTAAGTTCAACCAGCACTGGAAATTTCAATTTTTGTTAACTTTCTGATTTAATACATCATGTTATTACAGTTGAGTTATCAAAATTGAAGTTTTAGTAAAAGAAAACATCTTCATTTTACTTTTTTTTTTTATCAAAACACAACTATCAGTCAGCTAATAAATATCATAATTTTTCATGCCTTTTAAAATCAATACAGCAGTAATGTTGATTCAAAATTTTTCAATTATTTTAATATAAAATCTGCTGTGTGGAGCATAGCAAGATTAGAGAGAACAGTTCTACGTATATTTTTAAAAATGCTTGCTCAGGCATAGGCAGAGAAGTATTAAATTAAAGAGGAAGAATTAGCACATAAAATGAAATAGCTTAACATAACTTATGCTGAAAAAGAATTTCTAATGAAACAAAGCAAGTGACCTATTTTTTAAAAAAATTATGGTACCTTTAAAGATTATAAATGCTTCATTATTTCATAAACAATTTTAATATTTTTAATTTTATTATTTCTACGCATAATCTTACTAGATTTAACTTGATGATCTAAAATCTGCAATTATCAAAGCCCCAATAATTATGAATTTTCAAATTCTGTAATTTATATTACTTCATATATGTATATGCATAATTTAATCAGAAGAAAACCATCATGCTAATAAAGCTTTAGAACTGCATTACTTTTTTTATAGCTGAAATTGGGTGACTAGTGCTGCTGGTTGTCAGTTTCATGATATGATCCGGTAGTAAAACTTTTGTTCAAGAAGGTGTTGGCACTTATCTTTCTTGCAGCAAAAGAATGATGTTGTCTTTTAAAAGACTCACTTGCTCATTAGCAGTCAACCACAATAGAAATAGTTTGAAATGTACCATTGTGGACTTTCTCAAAGGAAAAAGAACCTATAACGAATGATGCAGTGAACCTACACTATGTCATCAACTTTGGCTGATGCAACACAAGCTCTATGGTTGTATGCATTTTAACTGCCATTAAGGAAAAAGTATGCTTCATCAATCCATAGAACAACTGATGGCTGATTTATATTGTTTTCCATCAGCTGAAATGATCAATTTGCAGATTAGTGATTATCTTTCAAAATCAGTTGGTTTCACTTCCTGTATATATTGAGTTTTGTAAGCATATGTCTTGAGGATGATCCCGAGTAATTGTTACACTCCTGGTATGAAATGTTAGTTGTCTGAAACTTGTACAGCGATACCTATCCTTAAAACATGTACCTATTTTGGCAATAAAAATTTTCATTATTGAAAAAGCCTTATGTTTTTCTGTGCATTTCTGTAGAAACCACACTGGGATATAGTCTATGCTTTTCAAATTATTGAATTTTTACTTTTTGTGTTACTTTTGGATCATGCAGTAGTGCTGCTGTTGGTCATAAATTAATGCTTTCAGTCATTATATTTTTAATTATTAAATTTAGATATTTGTAGTTTCTATATTTTAACTGTCACAAATTATGAAATTGTATTATTTACTCACCCAATAAATGATTAAATTGAAATGCTTTGTTTTATTTTACACTGTATGTTGTTTCAATTTTTTTGTAGGTTTATTTGATTGCAAATGTGTTTAAAATCCCAAAGTATGTTGTCTTGAAAGAAGATACTATACACATTACAAATCCTGTTACAAAAAGTGATGAAAAGAAACTAGATGATGAAATTAAAGAACTTAAGCATCAGATTTTAGAGGTAAAGAAATGTTTTATATACTTTTGTTGACATTTTCTTTTAAAACACTATTTTTTTTAAATAGTACATTTTTGCTAAATATGTTGTTTCTTTATTGATAATTTATATTTTTATAAATTTTTTTATTATTAAAAACAAAAATTTAGTGTAAAGCAATATTAGAAATTTATTTTGTCTGCTATTTTTTAAGAAAACCTGAATTTCTTCTGAATAAATATTTCTACACATTTTTCATTTCCTTATGTACTAAATTTAAAAAGTGGACCGTAAGATACATGGGCATAGCAAGGGAGTGGGTGAGGTGCACTTCACCCCCCTTAATGATTTTTTTTTAAAATTTCAATTAACAGGTTAGTAAAACATTTTATCTGTTTCTTATATTGCTCTTAGAGGTTCTCCCCCCCCTCCACTTTGAATATTAGCCAAATGTTTTAATCTTTTTCCAGCTCCAAAGATTTTCACAGCCGATCATACAAATAAAGCTACCTAGTCTCAAGACATCCTTTTACTTACATTCACTTTAAGCGATATAAATAAGTAACAGATGTCTGGTTGTAATTCCAAGAGTTTCCTATAAACAAGCGTTTCCTCTTTGTCCTGTCTAAGTATAATTTTATTACCCTGGGGGCTAACGAGAGGCTTCTTTGTGACAATGACATTTGGAGTTTTCAGATCTCTTCCTTGGATTATTGACAAGGGAAAAGAAAATTATTGCAAAACTCTTTTTCTGATTCGAGTCATTATGGTGTTTTAAATTTCACAAAACACTTAGTGTTAAAAAATTAAGAAACATTGTATAGTGTAATAATTCGTTTAATCTATTCAAAAAACACTTGTATATGGATCAAGGAAATTTAAAGTGCTCAGCAATTTCATCTACTTTACCACTGACGAATTCATGTCATATCATAGTTTCGTTTTCTTGGTCTAAGATTGCTTGCACCCCCTAGCTCCGATCCTGGCTACACCCATGGTAAGACACAAATCATTAAATACAGTATAGGGGCTTAGATGAATAAAGTCAATGGTCGCAGACACTGGACAAGAAATAGCCCAATCCTATGTTTAACTTCATAAAAATAATATGTTTAGCATAAATAATTCAAGGAATGGTGGGAAAAACTTTAGCAGAATTAGCTCTCTCGACTCAGTCTTTCATCCCTTGATTTCCATCACTTGGGTTGATAAAATGAGTACCAAGTTTGTTTTGGGACTAAACACTGGGGGTCTTGCAACCAAGCTGACCACTTGTTCAGGTCTTATGCTTACGCACCCTGGGGCCCACGGTCAAGAAAGCAACTTTTCAGGCACTGCTGGCCTTGGCCCATTAGAGCTGTTACGCCATTGAGTTTTTTTTTTTTTTTTTTTTTTTTTTTTTTTTAGTTTTTTAGTTTTAGCTCTGTAGATGGAAAATATGGCTGGTAACTGCATTGTCAAAGAAACAACTGCTAGTGGTAGTGAGCGATTGCATTATTCTGAAAGAAATAAATCCCACAAAAGCAGGGAAAAAAGATATTGTTGCAATTTCTAATTGAGATTTGTAGAATGTTCAGATAGTGAAAAGTTTTCACTTGTAATAAGAGTTAGACTTTTTTATGGATTAAATTTGAAGTTTTTTTTTCTCTCTTCCTTGAAAAAATTGTCATAAATTTTTGTGGAACATTAGTAGAATTTTTTTTATTTCTATCAAATTTTCATTTTGCATTTGATCTGTACAATAACTGGTTAGAAAATGCATATTCTTTCTGTGGAACATTTACAAATGCTTTGCTGATTTTTGTGAGTAATTTTTGGTGGGTCTTCATGTGTCATTCAGGTGAGTAGTAAGAGGTTTATTATTATTAATTCTTTCAACATTCAAATTCTTTGTCTTTTTTTTTTAATTCTTTTTTTGAAATTGAGTTTTACATAGGATATCACTTTTTAAATTTTTTTTGAATAACTGAGACAATCTTTATAACTTTGTGTTTGTTCTGAAATTACATTTACTATAGGTAAGAATGGTTGATTTCAGCACATTAAATGATTGACCAGCTAGAAAGAATTCTACATGTCTTGGGTCAAATATGCTGGTTGTTTTGGTATGATAGAACTGCTGGCAGTTATTACATTCAATACTTTACCATTGTTCCATTGTTGTTACCATTGTTATTTTTAAATCGTAATCAAGAAGAGGAACAAGACCCTCTAAATCAGTGGTTCCCAAACTTATGGATCCCTTTTTATAGTCAAAACTTGCCCATGGACCCCTAAGTGAAAAACTACATAAATGCATAGTATAAAAATTACAAATTTAAAGACATTTTATTGAAATATTTATTGCAAATATGACTTTTTTAAAAAATAAAATTAAAAATAATGACTTGAATGAACTTGATGAGATTTATGAGTGTATTTATGTCCGGTCCAATGTTTGTGAGTAGCAACCACAAATTCCCACAAGCACTAATTTTTAGTCAGTTTCTTTTTTTTTTACAATGAGGTTTATGGCAGCACTGAATCCACATTCTACCAAATAGGAAGACGGGAAAGCAGTCAGCAACTTCTTTGCAATAACCCATAATGCAGGATATACGTAGCGTATTCGGAAACTAAGTACCGTTTCATTCTAGCGCCGTCACAGCGCTGTGGTAGGCGTCCAGCGCATGCGCAGTAGTCTTTCTTGTTCACTGACTTTCAATTGTCGCCATTTTGGTTGCTCTATGTTGTGGTTTCAGTTTGCTGTGCACATTCAAAATGCTTAAGACAATTAGTTCTCCCACTGACTGTGAGATTTGTGCTGTGATTAAATTTTTGAACCCGAGGACTGTTAAACCGGCCGAAATTTATCGTCAAGTGACAGAAGTTTACGGTGAATACGCGATAAGTGATGGAATGGTGAGAAAGTGGGTAAGAATGTTTAATGCAGGTCGAACAAATGTCCAAGCCGAGGCTCGGAGTGGTCGGCCTTCTGTTGTCACCGATGATTTGGTAAGGAAAGTTGATGAAGCAATTCGTGAGAACAGACGCTTCACATTAACAACTCTTTCAGAGGCATTTCCACAAATTTCATGTACTGTTTTCTTGGAAATTGTGTCTGACCGCTTGAATTATCGCAAACTGTGTTCCCGATGAGCTCCAAAAATGCTCACTGATGTTCACAAAATAAAGCGACTTGGTAGTGCCCTGACATTTCTCACGCGGTACAGTGATGAGGAAGAAAACTTTTAAACCAAATTGTGACAGGTGATGAAACTTGGGTGTGTCATTTCACACCAGAATTGAAACAACAATCGATGGAGTGGAGACACACTCATTCTCTGAAAAAAAAAAAAGTTCAAAGTGACAATGTCATCACAAAAAATCATGTGCACTGTCTTCTGGGATAGGAAAGGCATTTTGCTTACTGAATTTCTTCCCAGAGGTGAAACCATTAATGCGGCACGATATTGTGAGACTTTAACAAAACTAAAGCGTGCCATTCAAAACAAACGAAGAGGAATGCTCAGTAAAGGAATTGTGTTGCTCTATGACAATGCTCGGCCCCATACTGCTGGTGTCACTCTATCGTTAATTCGACAGTTTCATTGGGAGCAGTTCGATCACCCGCCGTACAGCCCGGACTTGGCGCCGTCCGACTATCACTTGTTCCTGCACATGAAGTGCGAGCTTGGTAGCAAGCACTTTGGATCTGAAGATGACACGAAAAATGCTGTGGAGTCGTGGTTATCGAAACTGGCGGGAAGTTTCTTTGACGATGGTATACAAAAACTGGTCACCCGCTATGACAAGTGTTTGATCATTGGCGGAAACTATGTTGAAAAATAGTTTAAGACATGTATTTTCATGTAAAAATAAAATTGGATTCGAAAAAATTGTTTTACTATTTTTTTTTTTTTTTTTTTCCAAAACGGTACTTAGTTCCCGAATACGCCTCGTAAATTGGGATCTGTTTTTGTATCTCGAATTTGTGGTATTTTTTTTCAAACATTGGTTTTTAAGTTCCTCATTTGTGGATATTTCAATAAGCTTCTCTTGAATTGGATTCTCCCGTAAGTATGGATTCATCAGTATTTGGGATCTGAGTTTGTTCAGGTGCAAAAGGATTCAACACCCAGTTGGAAATATCCAAGTGAAGAATGTCTTCAAATCATTGGCTCAGGTCTGAATGAATAGCCATTAGGTGTTAACAGTAAGCAAGCAAATCTTCATCTCTGTTTTGCAACTTCAAAGGATTTGGAAACTGAGAACATTATCCTCTTCCCAAGTTTTGTTTGTACAGAAAAAGTTTTACAACAAATGCAGATATTATGCTTTAAGTTTTGATTAAATTTAATTGGTCACCTTGTAGTTTAAAATTAGTTTCGTTAAATTTGGCAAATATAAATCAGTCATATAGGCAATGTCATTTTTTGAGTTAATTAGATTATGTCGCAAATCATTGTCTTTGCTTTCCAGAAATTCTAACACTGAGTCAAAGAGCGCATAAAATTGATTTAAACATGCACATTTAGATAACCAACATACTTCTTTGGAAGTAGTAAATGATTATAGGCTTTGTCATTTTCCAAACAAAGCTGAGCAAATAATCTCTCATTGAAGGCATGCCTTTTGATTTAACTGCTCTAATGACATAATATAATGATCCATGCAAACATTCGTTAAGATTTTTTACGACCAAATGATGTCGACGAATGACAGAATGTACTGAAAGTACATTCAGTATAGCTTGTTTTAAGTATGCCAGAAAGCCTCGGTATCTTCTTACCATAGCCAGAGCACCATCAGTAGCAACATAAATATTAGTCAAGGGTATAGCTTTTACATCGAAAATTCTTTTTAATTCAGTAAATAATATTTCACCGTTCATATCAGTTTCCAAACATTTAGCAAATAACAATTCTTGGAAAAATGTTTTTTTTCTTTTGCTATATTACATAATCTAAAATTTAAAGCTTCGTTTCCTGGTAAAGTGGACTCAACAGGCTGTATAGAAAATTCAAATGTTTTTAAGAACTCATATAAAGCATTTTGCACGCACTGAGCCATTTCGTCAACCCTTCTTCGTATTATATTATTACTCAGCGGAATTCTTTTTATAATGTCGAAAACTGATTTGTGCAATATGGTGTGTGTTACCTCACTTACAGCTGGTGAAATAAGTTCTTCACCAATAGTGCATCGCTTTCCATACTTTGCTATTGACAAAGAAATATTATAAGAAGCACGCAGTCCATTGTCATCAATGGATGCAGTGATGGTGTGTTCAAATATTTTTCTTTGACTGTTTGAAAAAACATTAAATCCTTATCTTTTTTGGTACTATGGATTTTTATGAAATGTTCCTTAAGCTTGGAAGGTTTCATTGAATTGTTTGGCATAGTTTTATTACATAGAAGATACATGGTAAATGAAATAAAGCCATACTTCAAATATTCAACATTGTACAAAACTTTTTTTTGTCTAAGACTGGGAAAATTTTTTTATACACTTCATATCAGCTTAACATGGAACTAAATTGTTGATTGGATGTACGATGTATGACTCCTTTATAGTTTATGTTTATATTGTAGACAAGTTAGTGCATGTAGTGGCATTATTGCATTTCTGTACAAACCTGTTTTTCGCCAACTGTCTCGCACCGTGCCAGTGCTTGTTATTAACTTAAGTAGCTGGTGTCATCTAGAAGTATTAAATCATAGGCATGTGTTGGTGGATTTTTTTTTTTAAAAATTTCATTTTTGAGGGATTATTAGTTTTTTATTGTTATTTCGTTATTATTTTGTTGTTATATGTTAGCGTGTTGATGAAAATTGAAAGCTTAAATTTATTGAAGTAAATTGAACAATAACTAAGTTTTAGTAATAACATTAAAACAAGTTATAAACACCACTGTTACTACAAGTGATAAGTCAGTGGAAATCAGTTTTATCAATGTTCATTCACAAAAGGTATTACATAAGACTCAGTACCTAAGTAACATACTGTATTTCAAACACCCACCTATATTTATATTTTACTCAGGATGTAAAAATTGCTACTATTTTATTTATTGTTATTTATTTAAATTTCTATAATAATAAAAATTGATCACAATTTTATTATTTTTTATTAAATCTGGCGTAGACCCCTGATGTTGTTCAGGAACCCCAAATCAATTTTAATTTTCCATGGACCCCCTGAATGATATAGGGGACCCCTGGGGGTCCGTAGGGACCACTTTGGGAACCACTGCTCTAAATGAAGAATTTTTCAGTATCAGTAGTAATTCTTGTTTGGATCTGGTGCAAGGAAAGATAGTTTTTGTTGATAAATGTTTCATTTTTCTCGTGTTGAGGTAGCTTTGATAGAAAATTCATCTTTGGTGATCTCAGAGCTTGCAATAATAGATAAACCTTCAGTAACAGCCTTGATGATATCTTGAGTTGGGTATAAAAAGTAAGGAATTCACTTCAGTAACAGCCTTGATGATATCTTGAGTTGGGGTATAAAAAGTAAGGAATTCACTGTTTTCATCTCTTAGGAGGTCCACGAGTTTTTCCTTGTGTTTATAAGAGACAGAGATGATTTTTTATATAAAAAAGTAATTATATGCAGTATCAAGTACAACAAATTCTTTATGAGTGGTTACAGGTCTTGAAGTAAAGGTGGTTTTTGTGAAAGCCTTCTTATACGCCATTTATATTCAGTATCGCCTTACTTGGCTTGATGGTTTTGTACAATATAAGGGTGGTTTCCTTGGTTTTACAGGCTAGCCAGCGGCTGAGCAGTAACGTTGCTGAACACTGGTAGTTCGGTCTGAGGTTCGAATCCCCGAACAGGCTGGCTGCATGGGTGTTTTCATGGTTTTCCCCATGTATAGTGTGTATACGGGCCAGTTTCTTTAGAAAGTCCTCCACGAAGGCATCCTCCCCCTTAGGCAGATAGCCCTCGAGGCTCTGCCGTAATATCATAAACCTTGTTTTTATGATATCACCAACTTTATCATCTGGTTATTAATGTTTCTTAAAGCTGATTGAATATTTTATTATGTTTTTTTTTTTTTTTTTTCAGAGGGGTCTGTAGCAGGTACCATTTTGGTCTGTATTTCCATAAACTGTCGAAACATAGCCTCATAGACTTTGAGAGTATTTTTCAGATATTTGAATGGTTAATACTATTTGATCGTCCCTGGAAACTGGTCTCATCTTGTCATGATTTTTTTAAAAAAGTTTTTGATGCTTGAAATTTTGTGGCAGTATATAGCGTCACTGGTGATATAAGCAGCAAACACACGCGCAAAAGAGAACTAGGCTTTTGAGCATTCAATCGATGTTTGCAAAACAGCAAGTGGTTTACCGTTGAAACAATTTTCACAAACATTGAGAGGCTCACCTATCGTGAACAGTAATTACGAGGGAGCTTTTAAGTGATCATTCTGCACTGATAATGGTATAGGCTAGTATCTGAAAGAAATATATGAATGTTAGAAATGTCCTTAGTGGTGGCTTTCCAAAATATTTAGACTGGTGTATTACATACATATAATGCATGTGACTCAGAATGTTGTCATTGCATAAGATCTTTAATTTATCTTATACATGGCAAATAGCCAGTCTTCAGAGTGCAAAATATTAATATATATATATTTTTTTTTTTTAGTTTGTACTTGCTTAACAAATTAATTTAAAAGAAATACACTTCCTAATAATTAAAATTTTTATTTTATTTTTTCATAATACATCTAATTGATTCAAAGTACACATTTAATTTATGATGTAAAGGCTGAGTGTTAATTTTTATGAACACTTGCAATATGTTACACAGCTAGACTGATTTTTTCCCCCTTTCCCTGTATGTGTGTGCATATGTATGGGTTTATAATAGATTGACTGCACAAGTACGATAAAAGGTTAAAATTTATTCATATCAAAAGAAACATAACAGAATGCTGGAATTTTCCTCAGAAATATTTATACAAGTGTTCAAAATATTAAGCAATTTTAATAGGTAGTTATACTTTAAACTGCTAAAAACATTAAAATACTCTTGGGTAGAGGCGAGCAAATTTTTTTCTTATGCCCATGCATAATAATTATGGTGGCGCAGCTGTCTCTTTTCCCGACGCATCCGTGACTCGAGCATACGGAGATTGTGATATATTATATGCTGTGTGATGGTTAATATGATTTGCTGTGTGCTCTTTTTATTTGTTATTTGTTTAAATAAAGTGTATTGTCCTAAATCAATGGATTTTTTACCCTGAGTATGGGTCTCTGAACAACAAATGGTAGCAGGTCCATGGTTATATCAAGAAGAATTGGATGTAAAATATTAAGTAGAAATCGAAACTGTCTTGGTGAAAGCCAGAAATGGAGAAGTGGAACGTTCCCGAATTAACTGGGGAGAACTTTTTTAGTTGGGCATTGAAAATTAAAGCTGCCTCATCATTGAAAAGACTTGACTCAGTAATTTCGACTATAAAAACAGAAAACTTGAACAAGAAAGATGAAAGATTGGGGAATGAGAAAAACGCTGATGGCATAGCATATACAGTCAAAAGTTGTTAATCCGGACTCGTCGGGACTTCAGCGATTCCGGATTATCGATTTTTCCGGATTATAGATCATCAGTTTAAATCTCGTGAGATGGCATGCAGAAATTCTAAAATTAAAAATATGAAACCGTAATTTATGAAATAAAGAACAATTATGATCTAAAGGGTATCAAAATTTACAAAAAAAAAAAAAAAAAAAAAAAAAAAAAAAAAAAAAAAAAAAAAAAAAAAAAAACTTAATATTTATTTGTTTACTTTATTAAACATTTCTTTCAATGTAAGTTGTTTAAGTTGCTTCATTTTATTTGATAATACTTTCTCTTTAATTCTATAAACAGACATAATTTCTTGTTCAGTTACAAAGTTCCGCTGTTCAAGGCCCATTAATTGCTGTGCCGAGAATACCGACTAACTTGTCAATCGAAATTTTTTCGTTTTCACTAACCTCTCTGTCACATTCTTCATGTCTTTATCCATTTTTTTTGCAGCAATTCCACTTTTTGTTTGTTGGACATCGAAACATACTTTCGTTTTGTAGATCCTTTGGAAGTTCCAGCATCGGAAATTCTATTTGACATAATCGAAAGTTCAAGTTTACTTTTATAAAATTGCTCTTACAGTCTGCAAAAAATAATAAGCGGGATCCAACTCAAAGATTAAGGAACAACGCAATCATTAACATTAACTGAAATAGATAATTAGATAATTTTAGCTTACACCGTCCGTTATACATTAAACGCGCAGGTGAAAACGTATTCTGCACTTGTGCACACGCATATGCGCAGTAGTCAAGGTCTTACGCGCATGCGTAAAACGCCTGTGCGCATGTGCCAACGCGGCGCATGCGCAGAAAGTTTTTAACTTTGAGGTCCGGATTATAGATCATTCCGGATAATGGGTGTCCGAATTAACGACTTTTGACTGTATAAAACTTTCACTATCGGATCAGCAGGTGCTTCAGTTCTCTACAGAAGAGAATGCAAAAATACTTTGGGAGAAAATAAAATCAACGTATACGAGACAAGCTGAAGATCGAAAAACAGATGCCGGTAATGAGTTAAAAAATTTAGAAATGAAGTTGCATGAGTCAGTTAATGATTATATCGCAAGAGCGAGAATAGCAACTAAGTGCCAATCGCTGGGACTAGAAATATCTCCTTGAGAATTGGTGTTTTATACAGTCTGTGGACTTCGCGGAAAATTCTCACGAATTATGGAAATTGTGAAAACTCTGCATGAAAAAACAATTGATGAAGTACTCGAAATGCTCCGTGAGGAAGAGTCTACACACAGTTCAACAAACGGAAAATGACCTGATGGAACCAACCCTAAGGCGTTCGTATCAAGGAGAAATAAAAACTATAATCCAAAAATTTGTTACATTTGCTGATGGCCTGGTCACATCGCAAAAGATTGCTACTACAGAAACAAGAATCCAAAAAGTGATTTATTCAAAGGTAAGAAAGAAAGAAAGAAATTGCAACCTACAAGTGTGTATGTTTCATCTTGTTCTGATGAAAGAAAAAGTGATTTCACCCTCCAACTTACGTGTGGAAAAAATGATGAATGTGACAAGATTTGTGGATAGTGGTGCAACTGGACACATAGGAAAAGACTCCTTTTGGTTTCAGAATATTGCGTCAGAGGTGTGGGAGATTTACCAGGCATGTAAAATTCAAAAATATTTTCAGAGGGTATTGGTACTGTTAAAGCAAAAACTATAGGAAAAGGCTCCTTTTGGTTTCAGAATATTGCATCAAAGGTGTGGGAGATTTACCAGGCAGGTAAAATTCAAAAATATTTTCAGAGGGTACTGTTAAAACAAAAACTATAAGTACAAAGAATTCTAGTTCTGTTAATTTAACTATTAGTAATGTCAGTTATATTCCTGATTTAAGAAATAACTTATTGTCACTCACTGCATTAATGGATAAAGGATGTAAAATTGAATCAAGGAATAATTCTGTATTACTTTTTAGTAGGTGTAATCAATTACCGTAATTTCTGGAAGAAAGGGCGCATCTGCGTAAACGCAGCACTT